TGAGCCCCCGGGAGGCAATAGTGAAAAATAATAGATTATTAAGATAAATATGGCATAGACAATGGATGTTATAGTTGTCTTTATGACGAGTCGCCCCCCAGTCGCTAGAAACCGGGTTTCGATACCCGTGGTGGGCAGAGCACAGATAGCCCTTGTGTAGCTTTGTGCATAATTAAAAACAAAACAAAACAAAAACAAAACTAGAACCCACGAGAAACATACCGCTAGTATATAAACGGTTAACAGGCTGCATGACGTGTCATTTCTGGATAGTATTTATATGTGCGTGTACTTAAACATTATTTTTTCTTTTCAATAGTATTTATTCATCGCTAGAGGTTGTGTAAAGACCTAGACATATTCTGTTATATTTGTGATAAATTTCTTCTACAGAAACAAAGGCAAAAAATTACAGAATTCGTCGAAAGAAGCGTATTTCGCGTATTTTGAAATGAAACTTGTGGACCAAGACAAATCGTGGGCTCCACACAAAGTTTGTATCGCTTATGTCAAAGAGTTGAGACAATGGATTAAAGGTAAGACAAAAGTCTTTGGAATTACAATGGTCTGGCGTGAGCCTAGAAACCACGGAAATGACTGCTATTTTGCTCATGTAACGTGCAAGTCTACAAAACTCGAAATAAAAGGAAATTTCTTACCCGAACCTTCAATCTGCTACAAGACCTGTTGCTCACGAACCTGATGTACCTGTACCTACTCCACTGGAGACTCTTGATACAGTTTCATCTGATTCTGAACCTGATGTACCTGTAACTACTCCACCGGAGACTCTTGATACAGTTTCATTTGATTTTGAATATGATGTCAATAGAAATGATAACAGTGATCGTTTTCAATCTGAAATGTCTGGTGAACCACAACTTTTCACACAATATAAACTTAATGATTTAGTGAGAGATTCCAAAGGATTCTTCAGAGATTTTGGGGTCCAGACTTCGGGCTAAGAACTTACTTTCTCCAGGGACATCATTTTACTGGTACAGAAAGCGTCAGAAAGCCACTGTCGAAGAAGAAACTCTACTTGGTTTTGAGAAGGGAAACAGTGAAACCCTTAATGAAGTTACTACCACTGATGTTACTATTACCGTGACGTTAGTAACACGTCATGATATTCTAGAAGGATCATGTCTGTTCGTGGCAACTCTGGTCTTTTCTACGCGCTCTCTATTCGTGTATATAAGTGCGCCAGATAAAGCGAAATTAATTAATCAGAATAGAATTGTAGACAGACAGAGACGGACAATTGAGTCAAGCGCGGTAGTGGCCGTAAGTAAAGTGCGTGAATCGCTGTGAATTCTAGCGTATGTTTTAAAAAGTCAAAGTGACTGTGGAAATTAAGTGTATTGCAACGTTGAATTGAAAAAGAATAAACTAGTTTTATTTAAGAAAGGACTTGTATCGTTGAAGTTTTTCGGAAAGTATTTCTACGGAAAATTAACAAACGTAACAATATTTTTGTTGACAAACATAATAATAAACTTATTTTATTGTGATAAACGAAATAATAATTTGATCTAAATAAGAGTTTTTTTTGCTTCCCGATTAGTAAAAAATCCTTACCTGATAGAAAAAAAAATGAATATCTTTTTCAAAATCTGCGTATCTAATTTATGGAAAATTCGTTATTAGAAACAAAACAACTGTTATGAAGTTTAAACTCTTAGGCCTGTTTTATTAAAGCTACATCTTCATACGAAATAAGGTATGGCCTGGCGATTAAGGCGCTCGATTCGCAATCTGAGGACTGCGGGTTTGAATCCGTGTCGTCGAACATGCCTGCCTTTTCAGCTGTGGGGTCGCTATGATGAGACTTTTAGACATCGGTAAAAGATGGGTGATGTTGACTACCTGCCTTACCTCTAGCCTATTACTTTTAAATTAGGGGTAGCTAGCAGTCAGTCCTCGTGTAGGTTTGCGCGAAATTCAAACTATATGAAATACGGTTTTCTTTTTGATATGATTTACTGCTTTAAAACAATAGTTACCATGTTTAGTAGCCTACATGATTAATGGGATTCAGGAGCAGCGCCCATTGTGGCAAGTCCTGGTAAGCAAAGCTCCTGGAAGCTACAACATTTTAAGTTTATTGTACAGGGAAAATATAGAAATACAAACTACTGAAACATGCTTTTTGCAACTATTAAAAATAGGGATCAGGCAGTGGAGGGATGGGAGTACCGATATTTGTTTCTAGCAGGGGTATATGACCAATGCTTCGAAACCTCTAACCAAAATCTCTAAAAATCCCTACCCTGTTGTATAGAACACGTTCCATATGTATATCACTACCCTGTTGTATAGAACACGTTCCATATGTATATTACTGTTACAGTTGTATAGAACACGTTCGATATGTATATCACTACCCTGTTGTATAGAACACGTTCGATATGTATATCACTACCCTGTTGTATAGAACACGTTCCTTATGTATATCACTACCTTGTTGTATAGAACACGTTCCATATGTATATCACTACCCTGTTGTATAGAACACGTTCCATATGTATATCACTACCCTGTTGTATAGAACACGTTCCATATGTATATCACTACCC